GCTCATTGATACCATGTAAGCTCTCCTGCCACTGACCCATCTTTAAGTAACATCTGTGTATGTAAATGTGGGCACAAAAAGTTAGAATATAACCGAGTTACAAGGATGACCATAACATCAAGCACTTTCTTACCTCTTGGGTACAGAACACAAACTCATAAACCTAGACTTTACCAACCCATATGGGACTTGTGATATAAGATGAAAGTGGGAAAGCTTTTTGGTTAATGTAAGAATAAAATGAAATCATTATTTAACGTTGCTTTAGAGAACAATGATCAAAATGCTAAACTGAAAATAACAATATATGGACAAAACTTTCACATCTGGATAATGAAGTTAGAACCACAACTTAAAACATACACTGGGGAAAAAATTAAAATTGGATAAGTGTAAATTCCATGTGTGTGGTGGGTGCATGCACGTCATGCTTTCAAAGTTCTTTGTATAAAACATTATACACCATAACACCGGTACAAATGTAAGGGCAAGTTCTACTTGCTTCCAAATTACTGCCTTCTTTTACTTCCTGAAACTTCTGAAGCAGCTTCTATTTTTATTGCATCCCCTATCAAGTGCTGAAAATATCAACACTGTTAGTAGATTTTAATATGCCCCTAGAATACTGCTATGTGATATGTAATTCTTGTATCATCACAAAATGTGTACTACCTTGCAAGGAGTCTGCGGCGTAATTCTTGTTGTTTATCTTCATCCTGACCAATCAGCTGGAGTGTCTGAGGGTGCAGAGAGGACTGAACAAACCTATGCAGCTGACTGCAACATAATGCACAAGCATGTCTTGAAGCTATGAAGTTATCTTAACTATATGAGAGATATATATGACAATATGGTGGGTTGGAAATATGTAACTGCATTGTGGGCAACAGCCTACACAGTAATTTATCTTAGCATCAAATGGAAATGCAGGTGATATTTCATGGACGCCCAAAATTCACGGCTTAAAAACCAACTGTTCATATAACAAACAAATAAATTATGTAACTAACTAAACACGTAACTAAAATGAAAATCTGCCAAAACAGAAACTTCAACTACTGCGAATTTCCTGAGATCCTGAGAAATTACCTCTAATGGAAATTGTAAAACATGAAAATGAAAATCAATACTTAAGAAAAAGTAGTCTACTATAATATTTATTATTCTCTACACACACAATTTTGGTAAGTACTGTGCCCCAAAAATGTACATGTGAAGAAAATTACTGTCAAACTGGAGCTGGCTAACTATGCATTTTTTATATGATTAGTTCCGCTGTATTCAAGTGTTTGGAGTACCAATAAACCACAAAGTGAGACCTTTTATTTTTCGAAGTGTTATGTATGCTAAGATAGTTAACATAAATGCTCTGCCCCTCCTAAACATTAAAGCAATCATACTTTCATGAAAGTATTGCTACAAATGATACTGTCACACATTTTCCCCATCTTTCTCCATCGAGAATTAAAATAAGAGAACTGGAACATACCTGTAGGCTTCCTCTCTTTGGTCTGACATCCACAAGTGTTTAGTGTAGGCAAACGTGACCTGAGGATGGTGTGCAGGTAATGGCAGGTCTGGATTCTGTGATGGATCCATGCCAAGCAACATTACAAGTGTCTTATGGGATAACATCTGTAAAACACATCATGAAGTTATTCTTTCAGAACTTTTATTATCATATTAAAATATAAAGTATTAAGAAATAAACAGGGAATATCTTAAACCAGAACATAACATATCAACTCTTCGTCTACACTGACAAAAATGCTGGTTGTAAGAAATAAATTAAAATCTACGGCCATATCAGTGACACAGTGTATGCAAATATATTTCAGTAACTTCACATCACTCACCAGGCGACCAGACTTCCTGCAAAGTGAAGCATATTTGAGCCACGTGTACATGTCCTCCTGGGGAGAGACTACTAGTGTATGGACCTGGATAATGCGCTGCCAGTCTTCAACAACATGTTGGCAACCCTGCACAAAAAGTTACATATATATCAACAATAAGATGGATCATAGGAATTACATTTCTGACTTAGAAATCTCCATTACCTATCTAAGGAATGCCTGCAATTTAACATGTTTATACTATGTAGTCCATCTAGACCGCTCAGAAAAAATCTGTGCTTGCATAAGGTCCCTTAAAATGCATTTAGGCCTGAAAGAATAAGCATAAACTGTGTATAATAACAAATAATTTGTTTGTTGTTTTTAAAGTTTTATATCCTCATTCAGAATGACTGTTCTTAACTTGCATACAAACTGCTTAGTTATCGCTGTTTCAACACCAAACAACAATGCCCTCTCATGACAGAATCAAAGAATAAATAATTGTGAATACTGCAAATTCTAAAGCAAAGATCCTAAGAAAAAGACAAACACCATTCTAACTCTCCAATAAAGTACATTTGTACATGTACTGCTGAGCTTCTAATGTAAGAATATAATCCTGTCTAATACCTGCAATCTATCCCACCACATTTTACGAATGGTTGCTCTTCTTTCTGGAATTAATTTATACTGGACAACTTCTTCCAATTCTGCCAACATCTGCACAGAGACCATGGCCCCATATGCTCTCTGATAACTCTCTCCAGCCATTGCAGTCAACTCAGTATCCAGGAGATCCCGTGCAGAGTCTATAAGCTGTAGAAAGATTGGTTACTTCAAGGAAATGAACAATAAAATACATCAATGTTTAAAATTTCAAATGACTTTTATTTTAAAAATTAATTTTCATTCTAACTAAAATTAGAATATAAATTATTTCTATATGCAGACTTCTTCAATAGCAGTTTCTTATATATTCCTCTGGAGCACACCACTCCACACTTATACCAACATTACATAAATACCATTACCTGCTGAGCAGCAATATATTGTCCTCTATGAACTGCAAGGACAGCTCTGTAGAAGGCCCCATCTTGAGTGTCACGAGGGATACAGTTCACATACTGCTCCATAGTATCCCACTGGTTTAAACCCCAAGCTGCAGCTGCTGCCATACGAGACATCCTTTGACGTCCATCTTCATTGAAATGATTCCAATGCTTTGTGGCAACATCATTCAACTGACCCCTGTGACAAATTGTAACAAGTGAATAGAACTGTAAGATAAACTGAGATGGCCTCCTATAGCAGAAATACAGTTCAGAGAAAGAAGCACAACCATATTATCTCTGCACAAACAGCATGCAATAAATACATAACAAGCTCATGTCCATATGCATGTTTCATTTCCAAAACTACTGAACAGGTACAGATAACATTTGGAAGCAAAATGCCTACACCAAAAACTAGTGAGTAGATTTAATTCTGTATGAGACTCAAGGTACTTACAGCACTGAAAAACTGTTTTTCCCCCCATTCTCTCCCCAAGAAACACAAAATGTGAACCTCACCATTCACCAAGAGCCTCCATGCACCTCATCTGTCCCAGCGCCACATCCACATCCTCTGAGTTATCCTCCAGTCTCTCCTGGTAGGAATGAAGAGCCTTCTCCCAGTTGTGCAGCTTCTCATACCAGCGCTCCTGTACCTTGAGGTCTGAACCCTGATGGTTCATCACATACTCCAGGAGACCTGAATCCAATTTGGAAACCAACAGGAAAATTTTAGTTATCTCATCAGTTTTTTATAACTGACAACGTACAAATGTAATTAATTTACTTGTAATACTAAACATGTGTTTTTGTATAATGGCATCAGGGGTTTCTCTCAAGTCCTACAGAAGATTGATATTTATATTTTAAGCTACATTCCCCACCCACCTCATTCTTGACTTAATCACCGTAACAACATTAAATAAAGAGATAAAATTGTAAACTACCTTATTATATAATTTCCTTAATCTTACTTTATCTCTCCTGGCTCCAAATACTTTTCAAGTCATTCTGCTCTAAAATGCCAGGTATAAGAGGTCTCTCTTCTTAGTAATATTCAATTTCTTACAAAACAGCCTGGTGATCTTTCAATAACCTGTAGCTTTGGCCTTGTCGAAACAGGGTCACATTTCTGTTCTGATTCACTTAGTGTGTAGCAAGTAGCAGCAGATCCAAAGTTTAAACTCAATCTATTACCATATAAAATCCATACTACCTGCAGCAGCTTCTTTCTGCTGCAACTTATTGTTGATGGAGATTAGAGCCTCAAACACCTGTGAGTTGGGACCCTTATGGAACTCATCCTCCTTGTAGTGGAGTGCCTTAGCATAGGCTCGACAGTGCATAGCTCTCTCACCCAGCAACTGAGCGTCTAGAGGCAGTGGGCCCTGAAATATATATATACAAGACATCTATGAGACACACAAGAACAGATCCTCAGGAGCTACATGATCATAATTAGTTGTTCTGTAACCAAATAACCAACTAATTACTCACTCTCTGAAAACAGAACCCACATTTCAATACTGCCACCATCAAAGAGGATATTATCCTAAATCACTTTAATTTGTTTCACACAATTAATAGTTATTTCATTAAGAGCAACTTTAACATCACCCTTTTGGTCTTCCAAGTAGTTTCTTTCCAAGACACGAACTCACAAAAATACTGTTCATGTACCTTCTTCCCCATTCAAAGTTACACACACTCTGACCACCACGCTACATTTTTATAGGTTATATTTCATAACCTATTTAAAAATTTTCAACTGCTGACAAGTCACCTACCAAAGATCAAGAAAGGAATGGAACAAATTGCTGTGATAGTGATGATCAGAATTTAAATGTAGATCTTCAAGAAGTTCCATGCCAAAGATTCATGAACGCAAAATGCCTAAAGGATGTTCCACACCTTATCACAATGTTCCATGAATTCAGCCAAGTTCAGGATTGTCTGTGTGATCTCAGGCAAATCTGGCACCATGAGTGCCTGCTCCAAGCTTTGGATTAACTCATTCTGCAATGACTCGCTGAGTTCAGTCCAACAGGATACAAATGCAGCATTGAAGAGATCCCGAGGTAGCTGCGAATATGTCTGTGCTAGGGCCCAACATGACCTGCAACAAATTTAATACAGGCCAGCTTTAAAGTACTACATAAAATATATATCCATTTCATAAAATAGTAAAACATAGAACAAATATGAAAATGCTGGAGTACACTGAACTAAAGTAGACACCTTTATTTACTTTTTGGTTTCTAATTCCCATCACCATTCATAAAAGTAATACTTAAATCTTAAATATGTATTTTAGACATGCTGAACCACATTAATTTTCTTCAGCTTTTCTAAACAAATCTACCGTTGCTTTATTATTAAGCTTTACAACCTTCAAAATATTAATCACATATGTAGTTACTAATTTTTAGTACAATGTTACGTGAAATACTAGTAATACCTCAGTGCTGGTGATGGTGACTCTTTCAACAATTCAATACTTAGTCTTCGCAACCATTCCAGCCAGTCATCTTTGGAAACTCTTCTTGTCGCTGTCCATGCTCTCTGAAGGTTTGCGGGTGAGACATGCAACTGTTAAAAAAACAATCATACAGAAATGGGTCAAAAGTTCAGAGCAATGTTTTAATTTATTTTTTCTCATAAAACTTGTTCTTTTATACTTTATTCCCCCTTACAGAGTGCAGATTCAAGGTAACAACTATGAAAGAGTATTATTACATAACTTAAGAACAGTTATACAAAGTGTAGCCTGAGGGATTTAGTTGGCTCTTCAAAGAATTTTGATAGCTCTGTAGTGTATCACAATCTTCAAACTCACCCTCTTGATTGTGGTTGTATCAGATGATGTTAAAGCAATATCTCTGTTCTTGTGCCGGGATAATCGGTGCCTCATCAACATGTAGTCCTCTTCTTCAGCTATTGTTGTATCCTAATAAACAGAAGACAAAACTGGCTCTCAGAACCAAATAAATGAATAACCAACTGAATGGTAGATAACAGGAATTTTCAAGTATATCTAACAAAATTTATTTCCAAACCCTGGTACCATTCTGATTTCAAAGCAAAACGAATTAAAGCAAATTCTTTCAAATTAAATAACTCAGTAAGTGCATGTGTTCCAAACATAGATTCTGACTGTTTTTGTTTTTTAAAGGAAGAAGAAGAAGCCAGAGCTGGAGTTTTATATTCAGTCCTTATGATACTATAACATCTTCTAGAATTGAACTTACCGTAACAATCTTGCAAGTCACTATTTCATATCGTTGACAATTTATTTTGTGTTTCACAATGACTTTTTGGACTAGAGGAATGAATATCTGGTACTTTCGTCCAAGTTGGACAACAAGAGCACATAGAGTTTCCATCGCAGTAGTACGTAGCTCTGGGCAAGAGTCTAATGTCCGAACAAGTGGATGGACAATACGTGATGCAAAGTCAGTAAAGTCTAAAGTATCAGCCAGATGGTCCACAGTCTCAAGAGCAACATGGCACACGCCAATCGGACAGTCAGCTGCATCAAAAAGACGTACAATGGGAGGAAGTACCAAATGCAGGTAGTCATCAAGGTTGTTGCCAAACTTCTGCAGTGCTAGCAGCAGCTGTAACAAGAAAATTTTATTAGGAACTGGTCCCATACTCTTACATAAATATTTTCATACACATAGGTAGAAGCATAAATGTTAATTTACC